GAGGAAAAGTGAAGAACAGCACACTGCACAAATTTGCTCTGCTGTTAACTGACAGTGTTGTATAAAGTAACTCAAAGTGATACTTGAGTAAAAGTACAAGTATCTCATCATAAAAATACTTTGGTAAAAGTTAAAGTATTCTCTAAAAATATTACTTGAGTAAAAGTCTTAAAGTATCTGATATTTTTTGTACTTAATTATCAAAAGTAAATTTCTGACACAAAATCTACTTAAGTATTAAAAGTAAAAGTACTGAGTAAAAGAGAGCAGTTAGATTTTCAAAAATGACATTTATTGGGAGGTGACTTCTCCAAAAAACATTTTTTTCTAACAGTGTTCAGCTGTGATGGGTTGTGTACAAGCTAATAGTGTCAGAATGGTATATATTTATACTTCTCATCAAACACAATTAAATTCACTCTATAGGAGACACAGTTTATCAGGATAGGATTTTAACAACTCAGAATAAAATAGGAGTAACGACTTTCTACTTCTTACCTTTTTTAAAAAATGTAGTGAGTAGAAAGTACAGATAATTGTGTAAAAATGTAACGAGTAGAAGTAAAAAAGTATGCTGAAAAATAATTACTCAAGTACAGATAACCAAAATTTCTACTTAAGTACAGTAACAAAGTATTTGTACTTACGGTAGTTACTTTACAACTCTGTTATCTGATTTACTAAAAACTTATCCATCCATCCATCCATCCATCCATCATCTACACCCGCTTCTTCATTTCAGGGTTGCGGGGGTCACTGGTGCCCATATCCAGCAGTCACTGTGTGAGGGGCGGTCGCAACTTCATCACAGTAAAAAGTCTATGGTGGCCTGAATATGAAAACATCAAAACATACTATTTATGCATGTATAAATATTCATCCCCAAAAATCATCCACAAAGTTGAGAGTACTTGTAACAATAACAAGCTGGAATGAAAACAAGCAAAAATGAAATAAAAGTAACAACTTTCTACTTCTTGCCTTTTTAAAAAAAATGTAAGAAGTAGAAGTAAAAAGTAGGCTGAAAAATAATTACTCAATTAAAGTGCAGATTCCCAAAAATTGTACTTAAGTACAGTAACAAAGTATTTATAATCAGTTACTTTACATCTCTGGTGGTTTGTGAGATATTTTCCTAACAAACACACGCGAGCAGAAATATCTCCTGTATTTTTGCCTTTCATCAGCACGGGTTAAACAAAGAGTTTATTAGCCTTTAAGTTACATTTCACAGCCTGCCACTAGGTGGGGCTGTTAGCAAACACATTCATGGCTGTTAGTCAGACTGAAAGAATGGCCCCTTRGTTTCATAATGTGAGTGACATGATGGGATTCATGTAAAAAGTCAAGCCGCTTG